CTTCTGACATTTATCAATCAGCAATGAATTAAGATAAGCAGGGAAGTTAAGGTAAGCAGGAAAGTTACATGTGTGGAGGACAGCTATTTCCCTGAGTATGAACTCATTTTAGCTAAGAAAAGAGATAATGACCTATGCATGCTGTGAAATTTATCCAGGACTAATAGCTGAAAAGATGATCATGCTACCTCTGTCACCAATACCTATCAGGGCTCTTAACAATCCTCGGAAATGATACTGAACCTGCTCCGAAGGAATACAACTAAAAATGTTGATCAAAGACCAAACCCAAAGTTCTGCTACACAGAACCTGACTAAAAGAGCTTTAGCCAAAAATATGATCACTTTAGCCAAGGTATGAAGAGTCTCATGAGGCATACTCAAGCAAATAGTTACTAGGAAAGTAAGTCCCTCAATTTGAAGTTCTTTAAAGGATTATATTGCCAACCACACTAACATTTTATGTATCTGGAGTTCACCCACCATGTTCAAACAGAGCTAGAGACATTTTTTCTGATTATTCATCAACTAGAATGTTGAGTTCAGAGTGCTAAAGCTCGCTTACTTAACTGAGGCCTCTGGCTGCCTTTTTTTTTTTTTTTTTAAACACATGACAAATTTACTTACTTGCTTTCCTAGTTCACAGCCAATTCTAATAAGTATGTGAAGATAGGAAGCACAAAGGAAAGAGGTGCTAGAAACAGGCAGAGTTGTAATAACAGATAACTTGGTAGGAAGCAATAGCAGAATGGAAACGCAGAGGAAAAAACTTCAAACACACAAGCTTCCTGGGGCTGTGTCGCAAAAAGTTCTATATCTCAAGAGTCCTCAAGGGCAGCCACCACACAGGACATATTCACAGAAACAGATTCAGAGTGAAGTCTTCAATAAAGATTCTATTATTTTTTAGAGAGTCTTTTTTTTTTTAAAGATTTTATTTATTTATTTGACAGATAGAAATCACAAGTAGGCAGAGAGGCAGGCAGAGAGAGAGAGGAGGAAGCAGGCTCCCCGCTGAGCAGAGAGCCCCACATGGGGCTCGATCCCAGGACCCTGGGACCATGACCTGAGCCGAAGGCAGAGGCTTTAACCCACTGAGCCACCCAGGTGCCCCTTTAGAGAGTCTTTTTAAAGAAGATAGGAAAATGTGTAGTACATTTTTAAAGGTGATTCACCCAAAATGTTTTAAATATTAATATTTATTTTGGCTTAGATTTAAACACTTAAATTCTAAGCTTCAGTTATACGGAAGACTGCAATCCACAACCAAAGCTGGGTAGAGCACTATAGTTGATGGGAGAATTTTAAGCTTAACTCACACATTTATAACATGGAAAAGATAAGCACCTCATTCCCTGACTACACTGGAAAAACAAGGCCCTACTGTTACTTGAAATAAGATTCAAATTATGAAATAATATCTTCACCTACAGAAAACCAAGAATAACTATGTACATCTTATTAGAAGTACTTGAATTTTGAAAACCATCGTTTGTCTCCAATCATCACACTTTCTCCTTAAGTGGTTCTTATTAATCCTTTCTATCCACAAGACAGGAAAATTATGATTGTGTGAGGAGTTTCTCTTAAGGTACTGATGTAAAAGTTTAACAAATGTTATATTAAAATCTGTTTATGCATATATAAACTGAATACTTAAATAACTTTCTCATAAAATGATGTTAACCTACAGAAAGAGACTTTCCATTTTAATTCCCTTTGCCAACAGAAGTAAAATCAAAAGAATATGCAAGTTTTTCAATAAAACATGAAGCATAAAATGACAGAAAAAATGACTAATGTGCCTGATTTTCTATGGATGAAAAATAGAAATTTTAAAAAAACCCTGGGACTTTAAAAAATTAATTTTTCAAAGTTCTAAATGGTAAAGAATATGCAGGGGAAATGCTAGTTGGTACACAGAGCCAAAATCAGCCCATGAGTATTCTGGAGTTGAGCATGGAATATTTAGAGGCAACAAATGACCTAGTTTCTCTCCACCACGATCTGTAAAAAAAAAAAAAAAGGATGATAAGATAGTACTAAGTACCATAAAAGTATTTTAAAGGCTACAATGCATAAATTTTCAGTAGAACAAAAATAAGAGATGAAATAATTACATACACAATCACAATGAATAGAAATTAAATTCAATTCAGGTCCTATCTTACCTAACCCAGCAATCCACTTCAAAAACTCCACACCATAACAATACTGTTCTTGTGCAAGGCTTTAAACCTAAAGAATTGCTTAGTTGCATCATAAAGGTTTAAAACTCAGCTGAGAATATGTCTAAGTTGTTTAAGGGGTAAAGAAAAGCATTATCGTATAAATAATATAGATACAGTGGAATGATATGTGGTGATAGGGGGAGCATTTTGTTTTGATTTGCTTTGGTAAACTGTTCACAAGTTTTCTAGAGTATCAGTGGAGGAACATAAAATGGAAGGCACCGTTCAAAATGTTTTTGTTTAGAGAGAAAAATGCACATACCTCATCTAGCTGCCATTAAACATATGTCTACCATTACCCTGCTCATATTTGGAGAAATTCAAAAGAAAGTATCAACACATTTTATTTGCAATCTATCATTAGTTTTAAGGCTGTTATTGAAGGTTACTAATGATCTAGGCTAAGATGATTTTACAGATCTGAAAACTAGATAATGAAATGTTTGCATGGCTTGTTAAAGGACATAGAACTAAATGACAAAGTAAACTTAGAACTCAAACTCTAAACCAACTTCTTCACAATTTAAATATCAAATCACCTCTAACTTAATATATAAAAATTTAAAAAATGAGTTCATTAAGAGACAAGGGTGAGATACCACAATTTGGTAACTTTGAAAGGCAAAGAAACATAAATGCATAAATATTGATTTGTTCAGGCAGAGCTACTTAAAACATCCAAATGGCCTAGAATGACTTTTTTTTCCCAAAAAGTAAAAGCCTTTTAGACAAAGCCTATCAAACAGTTCCCATTATTATTAAGGAGGATGATAATTTATATAAACCATCAACTCTTCAGATGTGAAGAATAGCCTTAGTAGTAAATCCACATAAATACACTAGTTGAAATCTAAGCCAAAAATTGAAATCTGTTTTAGCTACAACACTAAATTTATGTGTAAATTATAACTGAGGTCAGCACTTATATTCTTTTTGCAATAGAAAACAATAATCATGCAAATAAAATTAATGAAAATACAGCAAGCCTGGACAGCTGTCCACACAAATCAGTGTGATATGCCTGAAACGTCTTAAATATAACTTAAAATCTTATTTAAATAAGATTGAGGTACAAGTCCTTTCTTCTGGCCTTCCTCTGATGAGTGAGCAGATGAACATCAAGTAACCTAAAATCAGCCAGGACAAAAATGGAGAAGCAAAAGAAAGAGTACCCACCACTGAAATTATTCAATCGATAAATATTTACTGAGCATTGGATGCTGTAGTATGAAGAATTACTTTAAAAAAAAGAAAGAAAGAAAGAAAAAAGACAACTGAGCAAAAAACTGCACTGTAAAGTTTAACTCTGAGGGAGCTTTTATGAAACACATTATCCCAAGAATGTTGGATCCTGCTTAAGATGATCATCTTTTAAAAAAATCAAGTCATAATCTTTAATATATGTAAAATACATCAGCCTTGCATATTGTTCTATTTTCCTAACTTAAAAAAAGATTTGCCTGGATTTAAAAAAAATTGAATACCTGTCTTCCTCAAAGGTTGTATCCTAGACAGCACAAATGGTAAATTTAACCAAGTCCACATTATTTTACTGTTTACAGCTCAAAGTGCCATACAGTTAGTGAGGCAGCCTTCCTGCTATGTAGGCAAACATACGTAATAGTCCAGGTTAAAAAAACAAAAAGTCGCTCAAAGTTATTGAATAGAAGTCCCAGCATAAATATCCGTATGCTGCGTCAGATGCTTGATACATTTTTACACAAGAAATACACAGAAATTGAAAAGGAGGGAAAGGTGTCATTTTTTAATTCTTAGAGGATTACCAATGGTTGTTGCTGAGATGTTTGGTGAAAAATCAGTTATTTCAGAATACAGACACTAATTATTCACTTTACGTTTCTGTATTTCCTAGAATAAAGGAATACTACATTTATAATTAGAAAACCTTTAAGGAGGGGCGTCTGAGTGGCTCAGTGGGTTAAAAACCCTCTGCCTTGGGCTCAGGTCATGATCCCAGAGTCCTGGGATCAAGCACTGCATCCTGCTCTCTGCTCAGCAGGTAGCATGCTCTCCCCACCCCCCGGCCCCCGCCTGCCTCTCTGCTTACTTGTGATCTCTGTCAAATAAATAAATAAAATCTTTTAAAAAATAAAGAAAACCTTTAAGGAAAGGGAGACTTGGAATAAATCATTGACACGAAGACTAGGTACCCTCCACAAGTCCCACTTGCAGAATAACAACTGCAGAAACTGCACTAGCACTGCAATTTAAAAGTGGAGAGAAAACACACACACACACACACACACACACACACACACACACGGCAGGCTTGTAGTAGATATTCAATACTGGGGGAATGAAATAACTGACTACATACGTAAACAAGCCAAAACAAAAACAAAATGCATTCCGATTTTGAGGCAACACGGTAAACAATCACAGAAACGACGACTTCGCCAAAACGTGGCTGACAGCTTAATGGGCACTAAATGAAAGAGCTTTTCCTTCCTGTCCTCCTCTCTCACTCTGACACTAGAAGACACATTCAAAACAAATCCTCCCCCAGCCCCGCCCCAAGCCTGATCCTCGCTCGGCTCCAGTCCTGAAACTGTCTGAAAGTCCGGGGCCTCACGGTGCCCAGACCCAGGCCCCTGTCAGGGCGCTCGCGACCGCGGACACGCCCGGTGCGGCACAGACTGGAGCCACGGCCCCCCAGTCTTAGGGACCCCCAGGGGCTCGCGCGCTCGCCCTCAGCCCTCGGCGCCGGCGGCCCCCTCCCGTCGCCACGAGCCGCGGGCCGCGCCGTACCTGCACACCGTGATGAGGTTCCTCCTCTCCACCGCAGCATTGCGGGCGCTGAGGCTCTTCTTGCCGCCGCCGCCGCCTCCGCCGCGGCTCCCGCTCAGGCCCCCCAGGCTCCTGGAGGCCATGGCGGGCTGACCCCCGCGCCCCTTTTGTCTGCTGCTACCCCTCCCACCCCCCACACCTGCTTTCCAATGCTCCTGTTCGTTTTGCTACCGTGGGGACACTGGCGAGTCGTGGGGGAAGGAGCGGGGACCGACGGAGGGTGTGGAAGACCGCGGGGGAACTCGTACCCGGGCACTGGCGGCTCGCGCTCCGCACCCAAGCTACACACAAACACACACACTCACACACACACTCACGCGCACACACGCACGCACCTCCCCCACCCTCGCGCGCGCCGCCGGCCGCCAGGCGGAGCGTGCGGGGCGGTGTCGGCGCTCCCCCGCTTCCCGAGGGACCTCGGCTGCCAGCACGCGCGCGTGCCCGCGTGCCCGCCTGCCCGCACGCCCTACCACCTGCCTTCGGCCGCCACTCACGCTCCAGGCGCCACTGCTGCGGTGAGGCCACGAGCCTCGCACGCGCGGCCCCGCCCTCCCTGCGCCTATCAGGCCAACGCAGTCCACCTGGAGCCAATCGCGACACGCAGGGGGCGGGGTCGGCCTCGCGGCTTTTAAAAGCAACGTGCTCGAGCACCGCCCCGGCGCGTGGGCAGCTGTCAAGGCGCCGGGCTCGCGCTCGCAGCCCGCGTGCCGCAGGCAGCCGGCATGCAGCGAAGCAACGCTGCAGTTTGCACGGGGATTGTGGGATGCGAGGCGCGGGAGAGACCCGGGAGGAATGCTGATCGTTGTCGGGAGCCCAGCTTTAACTGCTGGGATCTCTAGCTTTAGCGGCTGTTATTTCCACGGCGAAAGCCTATTCGCAGGTCCTCAGCCCAGAAAATGCAGCAGTCCGGCGCTCTCAACAGACCCAGGACTTGACTCCCTGGAAACGAGAAGGGTTCCTTTTGTCTTAACTCGCTCCCGTGGTCTGGAAAACAGCTACAAATAGCCCGGGGAAGGAAACTGCCCGTAGAATATCCCCCTTGGGCGTGTGATGGTAGGATTTCTTGACCGTCCACGCCACGTCTCTCCTACCTTGGCCTCAGCACGTCCTGCAGCCGGAACTGGCCGCCCACGTGAGAACGAGCGCGGTGCTAATGTGCACCCTTCTCCCTGCCTGGGCAGAGACCCCGAAACTGGATGAGGAACAGTGAGTCTCAGGGCAGTTTGGGCCTTGGCTCTTTTGGGCTGCTCCCGGAGAAGAGGGCCGCCCTGGTCGTGCGTTTTTGGAACATAGCGCTCACTTTGCAATGTTTCTTCATCCTCCAGCCTTACCAGCAGGAGGTCCTACCCTCTGCTGCGTTCTCTGGCACTCACCTAAGTGGCTATCTCCCTTTGCATCAACAAGCTCAGACTACAGAGTGAGGTCCGTTAACTACTGTCCCTGTAGAGCCTAGCACGGTACCCCGCATATAACAAGTTCTCAATAAATGTTCGTTAATGTAACTTGAAGTTACATTTGGCATTATTTTACTGAAATTTCGCAATTTGGGTGGCTCCAGAGTCCATATAACTTTCACCTCTGGTTCTGAAGTTTTTGTCAAAGAACGTTGTTACAGAACATAGTTTAGTATAGATATCCCTGTACATCATGTATATTATACAAAGGAGGGACTGTTAACGGTGGAGGGAATGTTGAACGCTTTAAAAACAGAGTTTTGTATAATAAAGCCATAGATGGCTAATATCTGAGTTTGTAGAAAATTTTAAATTTCTAAAATCATTAGAGCAAAGACAGCCCTTTCAGTGACTAAGTTTAATCATAGTAGAATAAAAATCAGTGTAGGAAAAAAAAATGCTTGTCTCAGCTAACTTACTGCAATAAACATTCACACATTAAAATTAGAGAAAATAACTTAGACTTTAAACTTTCACAATATTTAAAACAGGACTGTTTTCTCTGTTAGTGCCCTCGTTCCCAAACATTTCTTGTCTTGGCTATGGTAACATGGAAGTTTTTAAGGAGAGTTGCCATTCTAGAAGCTCCAATTAACTTGTTTCCTCTTGCTACACCAACAGTTTGAATTCAGAAGCAGCCATCAGGAAACAGATGCACTAACTACACAGGCAGTCTCTGCAAAGTATTTGCACTGGCTATGACAAATACAACTCACATTGAAATTTTTATTATTTAAACAGACGAAAACTGCATGAGGAAAGAGTGGAAAGCCATCAATTAGCAAGGAAATTCCTAGGTACCTGTGCTGGTTTTCCCAAGGGAGAGAAAACACACACACACACACACACACACACACACACACACACACACACA